CACTCACACCGGGCTGACAAGGCTCTCCTGCCCTAATGCTGTGCGTAACGGGCTACCTGTTATCTCCCCAGGGCTAGGAAACTCAGCACCCTGGCAGCTCTGTTACTGGGACATCCAGCACTCCTAGGCTGGAATGCAGCTCTGGCAGCTCTGTTACTGGGACATCCGGCACTCCTAGGCTGGAATGCAGCAGTAAGGTCTAACTGAGCAGGAAGCACTGTGTGATGGGGAGGAAGTCCTGACCCACATCAAATGCTGCTGCAGTCCTACTCAGAAGCACGCTGAACACATCAGGCCTGTCCCCGCACCGCTGCACACCAGCTTCCCTGAACGTTTTAGGCCAAATGCCAGGCTTTTGGCCTTATCCTTATGACCTGACCCACAGCCCAAGAGAACTTGCAAAATGAACCTGTGTGGGACGCAGAACTTCACTGAAGGCCGAGTCAAGACGGAATAACCTTTCCCAGAAGCTAGATTTGTCACAAGTCCCCCACACCCACTACTCTAAGTGGCAAGGACACTTTTTGCTCCTGCTTTCTCCTGCTGAAAAGCTCAACATAAAAGACCTGAAACAAAACCAAACCAACACTCTACCAGCAGCAGCAGCAGCAAAATCTTCACTAAAAACAAGGCTTCCTCTCTTCACTCTTTTCTTTCTGAGGAAAGAGAGAAGCACACGACTGCTGTGAGTCACGTTGCATGACTAAAGACGCTCAGCTTCTACAGAAAAGGGTAGAGAAGAATGCCTATGAAGCAGAATAGCAAGTGGAGAAGGCAGAAATCAAGTAACAGAGAAAGTTCAGGACAGTTTTATGAGCACATTATTAAAGCAATTGCTGTGGATGAATGTGTTTCTGTACTGCAGGTCCCAGAAGCTTTGGCTAATCTCTTTTCCAGCAGAAGTACGATCTCTCCAAATGCAGAAATGGTTATTGCTCCACCCTTTGAGTGTACTGGCAAATAACAGAGCATCTCCAAGAACCATGCTTTCTGAAAGCCAGATATACTGGAACTAAGTTCCAGCCTAGAAAAAAAAAAACAAAACCAAACATTTATTGGGGAGCAGAGGGCAAGATTTATATAGGAAAATTTATGACCCTGTTTCCCAAATCCTCTGCAAACAACCTCTTAGCTTGGACGGTGGCAGCACTAGGATGGAAGGAATAATCAGAGCAATGCCTCTTGGGGGTGATGTTCTCTTCCACTTGCAGCTCAGGAGTAGCCAACTATATCCCCACAGGACACCCAGTGTGCATTCCCAGGCAATTCTACCGTCAGCCGTGGGCTTAGTAGGAGACGTGGTTGGGCAGCTTTCCGCAGCGGAATGCAGTGACCCGGCGAAGTGCAGCGTGGCATGTCACGGAACCACTAACAAAGCTTATTTCAGGAATAGTGGAAGTGAGCGAATGCGGAGATTTTTCTGGAAGGAAAGATGAGCTTTTTAAGGCTACTTCTGCACCCCATGCTCAGGAAAGAGGTGATGGCCACTGAGGCATGAGAACAGCATGGAATGCTGGTCCATGTGTGCAGAATGTTGGGGAGGGGGGAAGCATCACTAACACTATTACCTTCTGAGACTTGGGATAATTGTGGAACAAGCTATTTCCTCTGGGGAGATGGTCAGAGGTGGCATTTTACTACTCGTTTGGACACAAAGATATGAAGGACTTGGAGGAGGCAGTTGAAAATAGGATTCAGCTTGGTAACTCACCACAGGCATCACACTCCATGACTGTATTCTTCAGGAATGTTATCTCCTTAATCTGGAAGCAAACAAGAACCACCATTTTAGCCAAAGGCTGAGTTTTGCTCCCACAAACCCTAACAGCCCCAGTGCCAGAAAACTGGGTGTCTCTCTGAGACCTCACAGCTACTTACAGACAATTTAACTTTTAGCCAAAAACTCTTTGCCCAAAGTCCATGTTGCAGTTTCTGGAAGCTGAGGTGGCTTGTATAAGTCGCTCCCTTGCTGTAGCATTTCTACAGCCTAGCTCGATAACGTTATTCTATCACAGCAGCAGGGAACACTTGACTTGAATACACAGAAACAAGCACCCTAAAGAAAGAGGGTCTTTCTACTTTATTTGGGTCAGAAACAAGCACCCTAAAGAAAGAGGTATCTACTTTATTTGGGTTTTCTACCCTAGAAAATGCTGAATGAGCAGTCCTAGAGAGGTCTGCTTTATCTGCAGTCCAGGCACTGCACAGGCAAATCAAGAGGCGGTTCCCCCGTGAGACATCTTTTCAGATATACGAATCATCTCTGACAGTGCTTATGCCACTCTTTGGCCCTAATGCCCTTGCCCTGAGGATATTTAGAACCTCTTCACAAAAGCTCGCCCCTCCAGACTTCCTCTGATCTCCTCTAGGCTCCTATTCCGCCAAGCTTGCTTCAGGAAAGAGACCACGTGTAGGCTCAGCGGTGCAAGATGCCATTCCTTTGGTGAGGAAAGGAATATGGGACAGGAACAAGTAAGCGTGTCAGCCTCAAGGTAATGCTGATACCACTCTCTAGCATCTTAGATAGCAGTCCTAGCAGACTTCTCTCCTGCTAAAGCCTTACTGGCTACCTAAAACTGATGCTCAGGACCACCCTTCCACACCCTGTGGGCTTCCCGTTTCCATGATCAGGTCAGTTCACTTTGACCAAAGCTTCTGCTCATGTCTCCCTGCCAGCTCCCAGGTGTAAGTGCAAGCTGTCACACTAGGTTGGCTTCTCCCTTCCCTCCAACACGGCCTGGTGTCATGTACTTGGAATAGTTAATGCAGAGACAGATCTGACCCAAATCCCCAGAACATGTCCCTTTAGAAGTGGGTGATGGAGAGCAGAGAGAATTCAGAGCACTGCTAATGAGTGGATCCTTTGTGCCAGGAATCCGTCAGCCTTTGGCTCAGGAGAGATCTGTTCTCTACTTGTTATGCCTTTTGCCATCCTTAATGCCAACATCCCAAGATGCTGAATCAAGGAAAAGTAAGATTTAGGAGATCTTTGCACAGATGAAGAAATTATGAACTGCCACCTTGGCTCTCTGGTGGTATATGCAAGCTTGTCTTCTGAGGAAGAGTTTATTTAAAAGCGCTGTTGAAAAGGCGGCCATGGATAAAAAAGTAGGTGGTGAGAGAAAGAACAAACAGAAAACCTGTATGGAGCAGCAGCGCTAAGCTGGAAGGGAACACTGGAAATCATTGCTTGAGGCTGCCAGGAACCATGTCTGACCTGATTCCTAGTAAACACTGGGTATTTATGCAGCAGCCTGAAATGTGAGAGTAACTCAATGCAACAGATGTTTTTGCAGATTAGAGGCCGCCCAGTTTGCACTGGCACCGAGACCTGTCTGCCATTCCGATTATCTGGCAGGCAGAGGCTGCTGCCCTCAGCTCCCAGGGTGGATAAAGGGAGAATGGAACCTTTTCTATACTTAAAAGAGACTTGACCAGGCAAACCACCACCTCCTCGTTAAAATGGGGAAAGATCTAAGCACCCAAGAAGTTCCAAATTCCCTAAGAAACTGCCGGAGCCAGA